GCTTTGCAAGGTCCCAAGTTCAATTCCTGGTACCAAAAAGTCCATCTTGATATAAAATAGCCATTGTTAAACATACTAATTTTTTTAAAAAACACCAAAAATTTTCATCTAAATTGCTATCTTTTGATAGGATACCATCTAAAGAAAATATCTCAGCCCATAAATGTACCTTTTACCATAAATAGCTTGAGTGTATGAAAAAGGCAAATAACTGAATCAAAAAGAGGTTATTATCATAAACAACATACTAGAAAACGTGTACAGTCAGAAAGCATAAATACATTTAGTATACCAGAAAATTAACAATAATAATTATCATAATTATATGTATGAGACCTTATGCCCTTTAATTCAGTTTGGTACAAAAGCATCTTTTTAATAAAACCTTGTTATTGTTGTTTTTTACAGGAAATTTAATCGGTTTTTTTTTTGGTACTATGGATCGAACTCAGGTCCTTGTGCAGCAGGTGGCAAAACCACTGAGCTAAATCCCTGGCCCCAGGAAATTTAATCTTTTAAAAATGACAAGTGTAAACATATCATAACAACATATTTAGAATTTATCCCTTTGATGACAACCAATGTAAACATAGTACAAATAACATATTTAAGTAATATTTATTGATGTAAGTCTTTTATAAGGCTATGAAAACTATCGGGTCAGTCTGTTGTAAGACTGAAAACTGTTGAGGTGCCCCTAGTGAACAAAGACTGGAAAATATTTCCATGTGGCCGCTCCTTTGTTCACCAAGGGGAGTCCTGTTAGCAGCCTCTTTTAAGTCTCTTTATTTAATTACTTTGACAAAGTTTATTTAATAACCTATAAAAACCAGATTATTACATTATTTGTAACCAATTAAGTTTTGGAGTGATTATATTTAAACAACAATATGTATTACATCTTTTTAATCTGTTAGCAACCTGGGGTGGAGCATGCCTTGAACTTAATAACCTTTATCTATAAACAAAACAGCTGTACGATTGGACAAACAAACATATAAGACAATTTATAAAAATAGAGTGCACTCAAATATATTTATCCCAATTAAATTATAATATCTCTTTATAATTTTTAGATTTACAATTATAAATAAGACTAGTCAATTAACAGAGATCTCTTGTAGAATTAGAATCAGAAGGAATGAAAGCTCTTTATGCCTGTAAATGTAAACCTTTTATAACAAACTTGAAACCAACAAGCAAACATACTTATTTCCTTGATAAATCACTTTTGCATACCTTCTCCACATACCTAGGCCTTTTGGTCTTGTATATCTCTCTTTATCCTTCTAACAAGACAAACATACAAAATCCTTTTATATCAAAAGTATAGCCCCTTTATTTGTAGCCTTTTAAAATCTATATATATTTTTCCATTTCACTTACTATAAACCTTTCATAACAAGCTTGGCTTCAGTTATTAAAATTTTAAAGTGTTCCCTCTGTTTTATATATATATATATATATATATATATATATATATATATTTGTGTTTTATGTATTTTAAAATTTGACTGGGTGCCAATAGAATACTAGTAACCATGAGTTTTTTATTAACAAAGTACAGAAAGATCAAGTTAATCCTATAATTACAATGCAAGAATTTATAATGCACAAGTTTTAAGCATACTAATTAAACATTACTTTAAGTTGGAGATGAAAGGTACATTTGTCAGTTAGCCAGAGGAGGGAATGATAACAAAGTTCCTGCCTCAAGGTGGGTGTAGGGTCAAGCACAGAGATTACTCATGGTGTCCAGTGACATCTGAGATACAAGAATAGCCTATTATGCCCTGTAGCCCTGGAGTTTTTATCTCTGCCTTAAACATAATGTAGAAAAATGTACAACCTTGAGATAGAGACCCATATACTTTGTAAGTGAAACCAAAAAAACTTGTATTGTTTCAGAAATAAATTAACTCCCAGTTGGCTTGCAGATACTGAAGGAAGACAACAACCCACTGAAAGGTAAATTAATCCTTTGTACAAATAAGCAAACTCGAATACCAAAACTAGAGGGAACTCACACACCCATTTTACAATAAATTTAAGCACTTAAGTCCAAATGTAACATATACAAAAGAAGAATAAAACGTCATTTTACCGAGAGGGGCCTCACGGACAGAACGACCTTTTTTATGTCGTCTGCTACAGTCATACTTGAATTCATACACAGACATCCAGAGGTTCTCGAAAATTCCCCCTTGAGCAGAATCGAGACAAACAAGGCAAATAGGGTGCTCCTCCTACAAGAGGTGCCTCGCAGTTGGTCCACTGGCCACGGGCCTCTCAGCCACTTTAAGGACCATCCAGGCTCTAGGGTGAATTTCTAGTTCCAAGAGCATCCAGTTAGCATTTTCTAGACACCTCCACGGAATTGCCCCCAAAGCTAGCAGGGGACATCAGTTCCCGCTGAGCTGACAAAACCAAATCAAACCAAAGTGAATCAAACCAAAGCTAAAGGGGGCGTTAATTCCCCTGAGGGGCGGCCAAGCCCTCCTTCTACCCTCACGGGCAGGTCCAAGCTAACTGAGAGTGTCCCGGGGTCTTACCTCTTCTAGCAGCCAGGCCAAACCAGATAATACGTCCTTGCTCCCTTTGAGTTCAGGAAGTCATAAGTGCGGAGTAGGTGTCGCCCTAGGTCCTCTGGAGACGCTCAGAGAAAGCCAGCTCTGACAGCTCGCTGTCACTTTCAAGGACCCAGCATGACCTCCACTCTGCCTCCAAGGACTTTGACTGATGATCAAGTGATCAGCACAGTGGATTCATCCCGGACGTGCTCCCAAATGTAGCAGCAGAGTGCCAGCCAGAACGTACAGACAGGTAGTCCAGGAGAATGGAAGACACGCCCAGAAGTTTTGGAGTGTAGTTTTATTTATTTATTTTTGGTACCGGGAATCGATCTTGGGACCTTGCACTCGCGAGGCAGGTGCGGGAAACACTGAGCTAAATCTCTGGCCCAGTCCAGTGACCCCCGCTTTGAGGGTTGAGCAGGGCAGGTTATACTCTCGGGAGGGGGTGGGCTTGCAGTAGTTGAGCACTTTGCATTGGTGACATAGAGCGCAAGTCATCTGGGCCCAGCAGGTTGACCGGTTATCAGATATTACAGATAGCAAGCTCAGCGCACAGAGCCACTGAGGGGAGATAGAAGTAATAAAACTGAGAACAAAATTCCTGAGATACTTGAGAGGAAGCTTCCGGACACGTTGAGGGAATGGGGGAAAACTTTTCCACCAGTAAGTTTGGCTTTACTTGGAGAGAAACACGTTCCCCGTTCAATAGCACTTTCGCTACACTGAAATGTCGGGTTCATCCATAATTTCTTTTAGTTTTTGCTATTTACATAGAATTTATTTGGGTATAAAGTAGGAATATTAACTATACCATTGCCCTGATAGTGTAGTTAACCAGTTTTCTCAAGACTATTTATTGAAAGATAAATGTATTTTTCCCATTTCTTTTGAAATACTATCTTTATCATATGCTATACTTTTATACATTATATACTTTATACCAAAACATGTATTTTTTTTGAACTTCAAATTTCTGACATGAGCACTTGGTCACTAATGAAGGGTTGCATAATTGGCTTGATCAGTATGGGAGAATGGTGGGCAAGGACACCACAGCTTAGAGCTGCTATCTCAATTACTGGGGCCACGTGCAGTTGAATTTTATCTGGATCTGTAATTCTTTAAGTACATATACCAAAAATGAAGCCTTTACAGAAAATATTCTGTATGTTTGGGATTGTTACTGTCAGAAATGGTACAAACCTCAAAATTAATGTACTTACTTTTTAGAGGGGCACAAGGTATGACTAGTTAATGCATGATGAACAGCAACAATGCTTCAATTCTAATTCACTTTGAATCATGTAAAACATTCAGAGGAAAATAGCACATTTTTAAGGTAACTCCTGCCCTCCTCAGCAGAAGCTAGTATGTCATGATTAACGTTAACAGCCAATGACTTAGGGCTCTGTATCAGTCAGTGCTTACTAGAGAAACAGATTTAATGCAAGATACACAAATACATATGGATTTACAAGGTTGGCTTACAATAGCCATCCCGAGTCACTGCAAAAGGGCTATGTGATGGAGATCCGAAGGATCCAGTCAAAGGCCTGCAGCTCACTGTAGTATACAGTATGAGTCTGTATTAGGAGGGTGAAGAAACTGTGCTGGAGACCAGGAGACGGTGGCCTACTGGTTGCTATCACTCACACCCAGAACTATGCTGATCCAATTTAGCTGGGCATTTCTCACACAAGTTGACACAATCATTTAACTATCACAGGCTCTATTAGTCATTCTCAAAGCATGAGATTTTGTTTCTCTGGAAGTTTTAAAAGATATCTGTAGAATTTATTTTTAGTCCCTCTGCTACAGTTCCTTTCTTGAAGTCTCTTTCCCCTTAAAACTCATTAATGGTCTTTCTTACTATTATTTCCTAAGAGGATATTGCTTCTGATGCTTTTACTGAGCTGTTCCCGGGATCCTCATGACATATGGTTTTCCTCATAACAGTGAGCATAAATTCACTTTGCTTAACTATAGGTATGTTCCTACTGGTCTCTGCCTGGAGGACATTAAAAGAATTATGGGAACTTTTTTTTTTTGAGACAGGGTGTCACTATGCAGTTCAGGCCAGCCTTGAACTCACTATGTACCCTAGGCTGGCCTTGAACTTCCAGTGATCCTTTTGCCTCAGCCTCCTTAGAGCTGGGATTACAGGTGTGTGTCACCATGCCTGGCCCAGTAACTTTTTGGTTTTTTTGGTACCAGAGATCGAACTCAGGACCTTGTGCTTTTGAGGTAGGCAGCGGCACCACTGAGCTAAATCTCCAGCCCTCCAGTAACTTGTTTTTTGGGGGGTATTGGGGATGGAACTCAGGACCTTGTGCTTGCGAGGCAGGGCGTAGCACCACTGAGCTAAATCCCCAGCCCCCAGCAACTTCTAAATAAACTGACAAAAACAGTTTAGGTTAGACACAAAAATAAATTGCAACTATTTTATTTTACAAATATCTTATAAATGATTTTTTAAATTACAAATGAGTTTTGATATATTTAAGTAATAATGTGTGTATATATAAAAGCTTATCATCATACATTCTAATTGGCTATGGGCCACTTTGTTGGCTTAGCATATAATCCCCTTCTTTCTGCTGCTGAACTCTGGGGTACAAGAATCTGCCTATCTTGCTGCTGCCTAAGAGACACATTTTGGTAATCCCAAATTTGTTGGCTTTTTTGGTTTTGTTTTGAGACAGGGTCTCGTTTTGTAGTTCAGGCTGGGCTTGAACTCACTAGGTAGCCCAGGCTGTCCTTGAACTTGCAGAGATCCTCCTGCCTCAGCCTCCCAAGTGCTAGGATTACAGGCATACACCAGCATGCCCGGCTGTCTGCTTTCTTTGGTCTCTCAGTACCTTCTACCTTTGGTGGCTGGTTCTCATGCACAGGGTCTTCTCAAAACAGTTTTTTTTTTTTGGTTGGTTTTAAGGGAATAAATGTGCTTAGATTCCTTTTCAGTAATTTTCTTAAAAGTATGCTTTGATGACAGTAGAAAATAAATATTTAAAACAAACGAAATAAAAACTTAATGCCAACTTCAAAGTTGAAGGAACCTGGAAAACTTTAACTATCGAACAAGATTAGGGAGTTAGGTAAGGGTAGGGGCACTTGGGGATTTCTCAAGCTCTGTGAAAGCAGACAGAAAATGCAAGCTCTCAGCTACAGAATGAGGGGCAGCAAACACTCTCGTGTTTATGCTGTAAACACTGCACATGGGCACATCACACACACAATGTCACAGTGTCACGACTCCGCTGTGCCAACACAGGTGAGCTCTCAATAGCTGTCACGAACTATCGGAGCATAGCTATTCCTGTCTTATGTTTTAGGCAAATAACTGCAGTACAGCAATATAAATATTGATTTTCTAGATTTTGTAACTGCTAAAACTTTCAGGACCACATTAGATGCTAATGATAGGCCTATACAGGCCAATTTTAAAGTGCGTATTAGAGGATAATAAATCCTGCAGAAGCTTCAGGCTCTGTAACATCATAGGTTAACAGTTTCACAAATTTATAAACATTAAATTAATAGGAAACAATATTAAAAAATTCTCTAAGAGGCATTTAGTTTCTTATAGGATTCTTCGATGAACACTGACAGGTTCTTCATCTGGGATGAATTATGAAGAACATCCAAGTCTTTTAGAAGAACATCCTGGTTTGGAATTAGCATCAAAACTTCTTTCTGTGGGTAAGACAGTATAATTAATTTTTAATATTTTATTATGAAAACTGTCAAATGTCTGTTATTTAGAGAGAGCTGTATAAGCACCTATCACCCAAGTTCGCTAATTATCAATAAATGGCCATTCATCCTTCAAAGCTATCTTTCCCTCTCTCCACTGGAGGGTTACAGATAGAAAAATTTTAAATTACTTTTTGAGAAAATATGAAGAGATTCTACTGCTATAAACATTTATTCTATAGTATTTATTGTGGTCCTCTGAATAAAGATAAATTACTCACTGTAGCTTACTACAAATATGATAAAGCTACTTTGTAAAGAATTATGTACTACTCTGAAGTATAAACGATTGTCAAAATTTTCTTCCAGAAATGTATCCTACAGTTATGTCTACATAGATATATAAATATACGTACATATGTGTGTATACCCCCCTAGGATTATCTGTAATACAAAATTTATTTATTTCCACTAGTAATTTATAAATTATATTATGGTACATCCATACAAAAGAATGTAATATAACTATTGACAAGTATGAGAGATCTACATGAACTGACAAGGAAAGATATTCAACCTATATAGTCCAATGAGAAAAGGAATTTGTCAAACAGCTTATATTAGGATTAGATTTGTTTAAAGAAATAGGGTATGATTTAACGTATATGCAATGCATAACTAGTGATGTAGACAGTATGATAGATAGGTACTTGCCTGCAGTGTGGGTGCTTTCAGACTGTGCCGAGAAAGCTCTGGGAGAGAAAGTATGTTATGTCTATCCAGCTGAAGCATCTAACAGAAACAAACATAGAGATTATTCAAAAGGTTGATTTTGCTGATCTTATATTTGAAAGTTGTTTTGTTAAAATTTAAGCATTAAAAAGTATATCCAAATTCTGGAGGGAGTGGGGAGGAGGGAAGAGGACATAAAAGAATTAAGATGTGTTATGCACCTACTCATGATGGATGTAATCATTATGTATTACAAACATGTACTAATAAAAATTCTGAAAAATTATATCCACATTTTAGCAATACATTTTTGAGCAATTACCTCTTTTGCCTTTTCCTCCTCTTCCTCTATCTCATGTGTCAGAATTTCAATTTTGTTTTTTAGACTCTGAATATTCCCAGTCACTGACTCTGTGGCCTGTACTATTTTATCTATTTCTTCCTAAATTAGAAAGAAAATATGAAAATTTAAATATATTATGAAATTAAACCCTAATAGATTTATACATAAAACACTTCATGTACTAAAACACCTTTGAAAGAAAATACTATTTGTTTTTTCTTTCAAAAGACAGGCTTCTTAGAAAACTGCTTTGCCAATGTAATGATGGATTATAAGGAAACTTACCACAGAGTAAGGAGAACCTTTCCTTAAAAGCTTACCAAAGCTGCTAGTATCAGATATCCTGGGAGAACGAAGTGCAAGTCTTGCAGAGCGCCAGTACTGATGATAGCAAGTACTGCAGCCACCTTTCAGTAGCATATAACTTCATGTACCAAGGAAACCCTAACTTATCTTCATATCGTTAGGAATATTTGATTGTCTTCTTTAATTTTCCAAAAGAAAGCAGTGTGGGGCATTAGGACTGGAATAGTATAAAAACCAGGAATAGAGGGTTCAGGGTGTAGCTCAATGACACCGTGCATGCCGCTCAAGTGCAAGGTCCTGAGTTTGATCCCTGGTACTGGGGAAAAAAACCCAGGAATGATAGTTTCTCACATTAACTGAATATATAATACATAGCAGAAGATAAAAAGAAAATGAATTAATGAAATGAATATGAAAACAATACGGATGCCTTGGGTGCAGGCCAAGTAGAGAATTAGCTAGCATCCAGGTTTCTAAAAGGTATGAAACATTGCATGGCTTTCAAATATAGTCCCTAGCAATTGTTAATGAAAGCAATGCCTCTGGGGATTAGGGAACAAGTGAAGAAATCATACAGAAAGAACAACTCTTAATCCTGTTCAGCAATAGGCCAATGCTACCTCCACACCACTCTCCAAATACTGGAAGTAGAATTACTGGTGGCAACTACAACAGTCCTCTTCAAGAAATATAATATGGCTTGTACATGACTTTTTTTTTGAGTAAAAGCAGAGGTCAGCAACAGCCTATGAGATGCTTTTATATAATTCGAGAACTAGGAATGGCTTTTACATTTTTAAAGGATGGTTAAAAACCAAACCAAAATAATATACAACAAACATAACATGTGTTCCACAAAGATTAAAATACTTGTCTGGCCTTTTACAGGAATAGTGTGCTAATTGCTTAGTGTCTAAAACCTTGAGTTCCACTCACCAGAATGTACACTCTATAGAGGAACAGACTTTAATTCTTTATTATAGAAAATGCCAGACACATACAATAAGAGAGAATATTGTCATGAATCCTCATGTATCTATCACCCAGTTTCAATTATCAACCAGTGACGGTCTTGTTTCAATTTCTTAATTCCATCCTTACAAATCCTGGCTAGACATCCTATCATTTCATCTATAAATATTTTAGTGTATAGTTCTACAGGTCTTAAAAAACATATATGACAATATCATTATCACACTCAAAAATCTCAATAAATTCTTATCAAATCTATATTATTTACATTTCTGATTTTCTCACAAATTAGAACTACTGTATTTGAATAAGTGTATAGTATTATATATGAATGAATGTAGCTTGTTGTACATGAAAAAATAAGACATCCCCTGAAAATAAGCCCTACTGGGTCTTTAGAGCAAAACTTACTAAGACCCAGTCATATTTTGGGGGAAATATGGTATGTACATTCGTTGCTCCCATCCCTTTGACTTTTATCCCTAATACTGAGGGAAAAAAAACAGATTTGTGAATTTTGAATTATTAGAAATTCTTGGGGATATATTCCTCACATAAACTATATACTACTACTATCCTGCTCCAAATGAATTAACAAAGACCTAGGCACCATGTTCACAAACTACTTTAAAATATCTAAAGAATATATGATCCAGTTTGTTTCAGTTTTATAATTAATTGATAAGAAGCTCCTTGAGGTTTTTTTTTTCAGTTGTTCAGATATCCACTAATTAAAAGCTTAAGGTTAATCAGGGTAGCTAATGCTATACCCTATTAGGATGCAACACAATCATGCTCTGAAGTTAGACTGACCAGATTAGGATCTCAATTTTAAGCAGTTTGTCTAAGGTCAGAAATAGTAACATTTATTTTTTTCATGTATTTTGTACAATAAGGATATTACGGTTAGACTCTTTAACTCATTGTGAGGATTAAAGGATGTAGTGCTTAGAAAACCCTCAATACACATTAGCTGTAATAACAGTAAAAACATTGACAATGATTGTATTTTCTCACTATATACAGGACAGAACTAATGTTTTAAAATTCTACAGCATTTAGTGATATTAAAAATACAGGGGCCGGGGATTTAGCTCAGTGGTTTCACCGTCTGCTGCACAAGCGCAAGGACCAGAGTTCGATCCTTGGTACCAAAAAAAAAAAAAAAAAAAAAATTAAGACAGTTCAGCTAAAATAATCTGATAAAAAAATAAGATTGCTATTTTACCACCAAATATATTAGAAGCACTTCAACTTTAGAGGCGCGAAGTGTAGGCAGTTTTTGCACTGATCAACAATAACAAAATACACTAATAATATAATTAAAAATCTGGTTCAAGATCTAGTATTTATTCTTTGAAGAATATCATAATTTAAGAAACTTTTTAGCCTCCCCACCCCCAACCCTCTATGGATTCCCTGTTCAAATTTCATACCTGCAATAATGCCAGACCTTCTTCATTATCTCTGTCTTGAGCTCTTTCCATTTTCAGTCGACTTGTCACATTAGTTAAATATTTCAGCTTTTGGGGAGGGGCTTTCAGGGTTTCACACAGTTGTAGCAACCTTAGGAACAGAAGACAAGATTATTTTGTTTATTTTTTCATTATCATTAGTATTACTTTTGAAACAGTTCTCTTTTTTCCCCCTCTCCTCATATTCATAAAGGCTACTTTTATTAACAGAGGCTAAGTATGGGGCCCCTCCCTTCTAAAAAGCCCTGATAAATCATTATTTAACTTTTCAATTACCTTAAATAGCAGGACTGAGGCTGTCTGCTAAAAAAATGTTTTCTATATCACAATGTAACAATTTATTGATATACATTTTAAATTAAAATTTCTGTGTATCATCTAAATATGTTCCCAGACTATTATAGCACAGAAGTCTATCACTTATTGTGGGTTGTCAGCTAAGAGAGAGAACACTGGTCTGAGAGTCTTAAACATAACTATAAACCCCAAACCTCAGTATTAAAGAATGCAACCAATAAAAGTGAATTTCTACATTAGTTAATCTAAATGTTTTCAAAGAAAACCAAGCTCCATCAAGTTTAAGGAACTATAACACTAAGATTAAAATGATTTGCTTTAAAGCAGTAGCAACATAAATGGTATTCAATATTCAAATAAAAAATCTTCCTACAAATACAAATTGAATAGATCATTACTAGAAACTGTCCTTTTTCTATCCACATATCTAGCAAGAACAAAATAGCTTTCTCAGATTTGATTCTTAAACTCTATAAGGAAGAAATAAAGGAGGAAAAAGTAAGTTTGGTTGCTTGTATCTGATAGAAGCATTTTTGTATTCTAAAAATTCTACTGTAAGATGAACATCCCTAAGCCAAAAAATTTAAAGTGCTACAAAATCTGAAACTCTTTGGGTGATAACATGACACAAGTGGAAAAACTAGTATCATAAAACTTTGATTTATGTACAAAATTATTAAAATTATATATTAAGTCAGACTATGTATATAAGGTATGTATGTTGCATAAATGAATTTTATGTCTAGATTTGGGTCCCACTTCTAAGATTTCTTATTGTACATGCACATACGTCCCTCCCTCTAATCTCAAATCCCAAGCACTCCTGGTCCTAAGCATTTCAGAATACAGATACTCAGAGTACTTAAGATTTAAAAGAATCAGAACAAGACTGGAACCCAAGATTTATCTGAGATCACATTCAAAATCTTAACTTTTTTGTGAACAAAAAAAGTTAGCAGTATAAACTTTACAAATCATAATTCTCATTAAATTGTGAAGATAAACTTCAGGTTTCCAGAAAAATCGCCATTAGCCTAACATAATAAGGACAACCTGTCTGCATAAATCTTCCTAAATTTTAGTTTTCCAAGTAAAATAATGATTCTAGGGCTAGAGATGTAGCTCAGCAGTAGAGTCCTTACCTGACATATGAAAGTCCCTGAGTTCAATGCAAGGCCCTGAAAAATTTTAAATCCTGAAATGCTACTTTTGTTTTCATTAACTCAGTTATGTGGAAGAGCCATTTACTGTTCCAAATGTTCTAAATAATAATTAGATTTCCAAGAGTCTCACAAAGTCTAATAAAGATGTGCCTTGAGTATATGCTACTACATCACCAATGCGTAATCACCATTTGTTTCTAAAACTGTAGTGGCTACGAGTTTTGTTTGCTTAGTAACCTTGTCCATCTGGTGAAGGGGATAGGCATTTTATTAATCATGTTCATGGGAGGAAGCTTTTGCCATAAAAATCAGTGCAAGGATGGGCACATTACCTAGGCTGGGCCAATCAGAGATCTCTCCCATAATTTTCTAACTGAAGCTAACGGGATAAGAGTTTTCTTTATTCTTTACAAGATTAAAAAGATATGTATTAATAGGAGCTGCCTGTGTTTACAGTTATTATCTAGTGTGAATGGACAACAAAAAACTCTAAAAGAATGGTGCCAGTATGCAGAGAGAAGCACAGCTAAGATTAATGTATGATATAGTAAGTTAGGTTAAACAAAATGAAATATTTATTGTAGGGGTTTTTATATGCCAAACACCCAAATATAATTCACTATAGATTACTTTGTTTCACAGAACAGGTGTTTCAAATACATTTTGCGAAAAGCCTCTCCAGGAAAATTTATTTAAAGTTCCAATTATGACCTAACAGAGCCTAATGCATTCTACTGCATCAGTAGAAGTAAGAGCATCTTTGCTATGGTTATTTCTGTGATTAAAGTGTGTTGTGAAAGTAAAAACAAGGAGAAAAACCGGCATTTGAATCTGTATCGCCACAGTTGCTACATGATGAAGAAAATACACATCTGTTGAATATAATTTAATATTTTCTGATGACCGAGGGTGATCACTATGACAGCAACTAGTATGTACTATAATACTCTCATTCATACACTATACATGATTATTTGGTCTGTATTAAAAAGAGCCTGAGCTGGGAGTAGTGGCACATACCTGTAACCCCAACACTGGGAAGCTGAGGCAAGAGCTCAGCCTACTCACTTTAGTGGCATTAGAATGACTTGGTCTCAAAATAAAAAATAATAAAAGAGCTAGGGATGTAGCTCAGTATGAAGACTCTGAGGTAATTTATTTAAAAATAAATAAATAAAACTGAATAGCTAGTTTTATTTGCATTAACTCATTATCTCTATTAAGGTATCTATCTATTTTAAGGTATTCTCCTTGTATTTTTAATATTAGGCTATTATACCTTTGAGAATTTTGCAAGCCTGCTTCTAGCAGTCCTTCTTTAGTCTGTCCAACCTCTCTCAACAAACTCCTATCCTGATTACTATTATGATTTTGATTTTAAATGTCCCCCAAAGGCTATGTACTAAAGATTTGGTCCTCAGCTAAGGGCCCTGTAGGAAGGTGGCAGAAACACTGGAAAGTAGGAAAAAGCAGGTCCAGAAGACAGCACAGAAGTACGCTGCTTGCATAAGGCCACGTAGAAAACTGTTACCCCAAGATTTGTTTCACTATATTCAGCATCCAGGCACTCAGAGGCACAGCTGCTACAGGTCCAAGGGAGCCTGGCTATTGCTGGAGCTATTGCTGGATCTTGATGTTGTTCATCTAATGCTGGTTTCGCAGGCATGCAGAATGCAAGAGTTATGGGGTCACAGAGCCTTCCACCTGGCTACCATGAGGTAAGCAGCTTTACACTATCACGTGTTTCTGCCATGATGGACTGCCTTACTCTAGGTCTAGAAGTCACGAGGCCAAGTGATCATGGACTAAAACCACTGAAACTTCCTTTAGGTTGATTTTCTCGGGTATTTTGTCCCAATGATGGAGATCCAGCACACCCGCCTATCACATCCCTCCCTACTGTGCTACTAAGGTTAAGAATAATACTTAAAGAAAAAGTAAACAGAATTTGTGCTCAAATGACTTTCCAAAAATAGAGTACTGGGTCATAAACAATTCTAGGGAAACCCAAAACTGGGATGTGAAACATTCTTTTGTGAAAGAAAAACATTATGTAAATACTAGAGAAACTGAGCACTAAAAATCACGGACACTGGTGTGGCTCTAAAGGACACTTGAAACATCCATTAGTGACTTGCTGCAAGACGAAGAGCAGTAGTACACTGGAAAATTACACTGTTGCTTATGCAAATAATGTACTACAAATATGAACTAAAGGAAAAGCACAATAGGATAAATATCACATTGGTTATGGGTAGTGAACTGCTAACTTCAACTTGTTAAAAACAAAGGTTAAGGGAAATAAAGTTGAAAAAAAAATTTTTTTTTTCTGGTACCAGATATTGAACTCAGGACCTTGCCCTTGCGAGGCAGGTGTGGTGTCACTGCACTAACTCTCTGGCCCTTGAAAATATTTTTAAAACATCAACACTGAATAGTGAAATGTAACAATAAAAGTTGTGAATTTTCAGGTTCTTTTGTACAACCTCTCTGACATTCGGGCTGTTTCAGTAATCTATATATAGCAGCAGTTTAGAGAGGAAAGAACACATATTCTCAAATTGTTTACTCAGAAACAACATTTATCTTCCACAAATATCTATTTTGGCCAAAAAAAAAGAATCAGATTTTTAAAAGAATTATGTTTTAGTCATTTTCAATTAGTTAACTATCTTACCTTTTCTTCAGGCAGTTGAGATGATACTGAATTTGCTCTTTTTCTTTAATTTTATTACTCAAAATTGCTCTAAAAAAGAAATTGGGTAAGTATTCACTTGAAACATGAGTAATATAATTTGTGTACTTTTTCTCTCTGAATTCTCTCAAGTGTTCTTGCCAGGCAGGCAAAATTAACTACGTTCCCTTTTATATGAAATATATTTTAAATAGAAGTACAGTGAAAACTTTTTAAGACCACATTGTATAGTAATATGTTATATACCTGGCTTTGCTAATGGAGTTCAGGTCTAAAATAGCAGAATGCTATCTTCTTTTCTTTGTATCTTCTAGCATGGTAGTTTCCACATTAAGAGTCACCCTGAACTCAACTTCTTCCAAAAAATCCTTATTGACAAAACAAATTAAAATTTTTATAGCTGGCCGATCTGGCCACAAAGATTTTTATTTCACTGATTGAATCCCAAGTTTCTAACATTAAAGAAATTTGTGTTAAAGACTAATGCTATCACAAAACATTAAATATATATTCTTTTGAAACAAAAAATTCTATTATCTTAAAACATATAGTAATATTTATAAAAATGCCTGTAGGAAACACCTAAGTAGGAAGCAAAGGAGGAAAAAGGAAAATTTTATACTCACATTATTACTACTTCCATCATAGTTTGCAAATGCTCCCTCACATTCTTTGAAAGAGGTTGCCAGGTTTTTCTCTTGTTGGATGCTATCTTTATCTGCTTTAGATTAATATGATCTGTTTGTCCTGTTATTGGTGATAGAAGATACTGTAATTAGTTCAGAAATTTTCATGTTTTTACTTCAAAAGTGGTTTATCTAAAAGTTAATGGAATCATACAAACAAAATATTATAAAGGTGCATAAATGTTTAAACCCATGTTATTGCAGCTCTAACATGCTACATGTTGACTATGAATTTGCTGCCATTATGTTTAACAATATTGATACTCCAATACAAGCCCCAAACAATATTAGATAAAGAACCAACCTGTAATTATTCAAAGTTTTGCTCTCAGAAATGACTTGAACTCAAGAACTTTATTAAGAAAACTACAAAACTGTTTCTACCAAACATTGGATGGCAACTGGAAAAAAAGCAGACTAAATGAAATGACAAATAGATATTCAATGTCAGCTATGTTGGGTGCTGTTCTACTTATAAACAAAGGAGATATATTATTGACTTGCTTAAAGATTAGTTTTGGAGAGAAGGGATGTTAAACAAATTACAGGTCTGCGGAGCATTACAAAATATAGTACTGTGCCATATGAAGTATAAAACCAAAACTAGTCTTGGGTGAGGAGAGGTAGAGAATCCTCCCATGAGGAAGTGATGTTTAAGAAAACATGACTACTCCAAAGTAATTTACTTCAAAGAGTTTTAGGTAGTGCTTCCAAATTAATTTATACAGCAGTGGCAGAACAGAAAGCACATTATCTTGAAGGAAAATAAGGTCTGTCTTTACATAATAATTCATATTGTGAGGTATTTTGATTTTTTCTAGTTCCTATCAAGTTAGTAGCATAGAAACTTCATTGTATTTTGCTAAAACTGTTAAGTAAAATTTCAGTTGACCAAAAATAATAACCTTATCCTATGAAAATGTGAATGTGGCTATTTATTACTATTTTGGGCAGAATGCATAAAAAAGATGTTGAAAAAATTTTCATGAATATATCTTGAGAAAAAATACGCATTAAACAAGATATAGAAAAGAAAATACCCGCAGAAGACATGTGCTTTGGATGATTTTTACTTCTTTTTATCATGCTTCTAACCTAGAAGGAAAACACATACACACAAAGAGAATTAAACAATCACGTAAAAATGTATCACTTTTGCAACAGCTTTGTCACCGTATTTCAAATAGTATCTTCTGATAGAAAAAAAAGGTATATTGGCACTTTTACAGAAGAATGGTGTATATCTATCACAGGCAGAAAGTACACTGAAGTAATTCTTAGTGAAAACAGCATTTTATGTAATGTCAAAGAATCCTTTAAATAAATCAATATTCACTTTGTCCGTGAAACAATGTTACATATTTTACATGCAAAATAAATACAGGCATTGGCTAATGAACAGGGTGAAACCTAGAAAAAAGTTGGGATTAATTCATGTACTCTTTTATGAGGCAAGGGCAAAATTAAGGTAAGAAGAATTCTTCTCAAACTAATTTTTTCTCTACGTTAGTAGAAATCTCTACCAACTGACAGACTCTGTCCCTTTTAACAGAAAAATGTGATATAAATTTGTACACTTAATTCTTTACTCTTCCATTTCACAGCTTAGCCTACCCATGACCTCTCTTCCACCATGACCTCCTCTAGCCCATGACCTCCTCTTCCCCAAAGAATTTTATGGTCGAGTCTTCATTTTAGAAATGGAAGTAAACAACAGTTTTTATCTGTGAATTTTACAAATCATGTTACAAAAACTCTCAGACTGATATGTATTTTGTAGTAAAACTGACTCTCAGTCTTCATATATTTCTATGTAATAAACATAATATTTCTAAGAATTCTGAATGTTATTTTCATTACCTCTTTCTCTGACAACTCCACTTCTTCATCATCAAGTTTTCTTCTTGAATTTTTTTTTAATTGTTCAGACTTTTTCTTGGAAGCATTTCCTTTACCAGACATCTTGATCTAAACAGTCCAATTATGATGCTTTAAAAAAACTCTAAAGATGAAAACACAGAAAAATGATAAAGCTTTTTATAGTGTTTTTGTTAAACAGACTACCTATAGTTGCTCCAAATTCCCTTTTTTAAAAAATCGTAATGAATAGATTTGGGGGATAATATAATACCTTTTAAAAACATTTTAACTTTTTTTTTGAGACAGGGTCTCGCTATGTAGACCAGGCTTGCCTTGAATTCACCATGTAGCCCAGGCTGGCCTCAAACTCATGGCGATCCTCCTCCCTCAGCCTCCCAAGTGCTGGGAATTATAGGTGTGCGCTAGTCCACCTGGTTCAGATTTACACCATTTTTAATCTACATATTAGCCTTCACTTGCCCCTTCACTTAGGTGCTCTTATTTAGTAAACAACATCAATTGCTGTATATGTGACCTTGCAAGAAAGGTCTATAAATGAAGCACTCATATGGATGGGTTTTGAAGTAGGGGAAGACAAGAAGAGGGAATTGGGTATGTTAGTAATGTAACAAAGGATAGACTGGGTGTAGAGTAAGGAACTGCATTGTTCAGAATCTGATGTTTTGGTTTCTACTACTTTTTGTAACTGACCTAACAGTCTCACCACCACATCTGGCTCTAATAAATTACAAAAAGTATCAGTTATGACTGATAAGCCAGTATTCCTATTACTGTTAGAACACCTGTATATTAAAACAATAGAAATTTTACTCTGATCTTGATCCCCTGGAAACCAGAGCCTAGTAATAGTGGGCCGGCAAATATGAAAAGTTATTATGTACAATGTGATAAATGCTGTTTTAAAAAGACCCAAATGAGTGAATGACTATCTTAAACTGCCTGGTGTATGCGTGGGAGTACACACTATTCAGAGAAAACCTTATTTGAACTGTCTTTTAAATTATTTAGCTAAAGGAGAAATAAAGTATTTAAGAAAAATTAGCAAAAGCCAGATGACAAGACAGCTCGAACGAAATATTTTGGCGACTTCGGGGCGAGGAACCAGGCAGAGAGACTTTTCATGTGTGTAGGGCGAGTGGAAAGAAGGCTCCAACAGTAGTTCGCGAGCGACTATATACTGTGCAAACGAGGGAGGCACCCCGTGTTATCCTGTTCTCCTTGCCAGCTTGCTGGAAGGCGTGGAAATCAAGTATCTCAATCTAGACTCCCAAGTGGGCTCAGGAGGTGAACAGGAACCGGATCACACAGACGACCTGTAAGGCTGCACTTCGCCCCACACTGGCTGAGGGAGTGCCTCGCCAGTGAGATTGAGGAGGATGGGGAAGGAGGGAGGAAGTAGGATCATACACGGTTTCCCTCCCTCTCGCAAAATCAAATGCTTCAAACCGCGGCCCTGAGTGGCAGAAGTGTTTGGACATCAGACCTTAGTCCCAGAAAATCACCTAACTCTCCTCAATTACAGACCACGGAGCTTGCCCAAAACGTGCCGGCCACAAAACTCAACTCTTAACCCGCCCAGCAGGTCAAGCGCTTTCAAGACTCACCGACAGATTCTTCTTGAATGTGTCTGAAAACCGCACTAAGAGGAATTCGCGCCCAAACAACCAAAACGCCACAGGGACCGGAAGTAGGCGGGAAGAAAGCGGAAACCCTTGTAGCGAGAGGCGGACCTCGAGCCAGATCTCTTCCGGTATCAGAAACGCCCACAAGAGAGAGGGATTTGATTGGCTGGAGGGAGGGTAGTGTCAACCTATCCCCTGGTTCGTCAGGCAGATTTTAGCGCCGGCAGAGTTGCGGGTTTCCAGCTGTGTGGTGCCCGGGTCTAGTAGGGCAGGAAGTAGGGTATTCCAGCGGCCTTTTTCCACAGCCAAATCTGACATCGTCTGATGAGTAGGACTCTGCACTTAGAAGCACACCAGGCTTTCCGATTTCTCTCTCTTTTTTTTCCAGTTCATCTCTTTGCTCTGTGTCCTTTCTCTACCCCTGTTTTTTCCTTTGCATTCCACTTGCTGCAACAGGATCCTAATTACCTTTGACTTCTAGATGCACACTTCCACCGACTTTTCATTTTCGGCTAAGTCCTTGGGAATTCGAAGATATAGCTGCAAAGCAGGTGCTTTTAACATCGCAGAGGCCATGTCATTATCTTCTCTGGCCACCCAAGCCCTTAGTAGATGGAGGTCACTCCAGGACTGCCTCCTTTCCAGCCCGCAGCTCTTGTTATTAGGGTTTTTGCAAGGGACAAAATGTAGGTGGGGTTAAAAGTGAGAGAATAGGAAAGACAGGTCTAAATTGACGTCAAGTGTAAATTACTTACTTGTCTTAGCTACTTTCTCGTGGCTGGGACAAAATACCCCACACCCACAAGTTAGAGGAAAGATTTATTTAGCTCACGGTTTGTAGCAGTTTCAGTCCGTAGTCAGCTGGTTCTGAGGTGGGGCAGCAAGGCCGAGGAGTAACAGTTTATGCCGTGGCAGGTAGGAAAATTTCTTTTCCTCTTTATTCCACCCAGGGTACAGTTCAATGTCTGTCTGCCCCAATGTGCTGCATGTAGTCGTTTTGCTGTCCTGCTTCATCTCCAGGATTGATTCGCATATGTTCATGAAGTAAACTGCACGTGGAGCCTTGGGTGTGCGTGGTGCTTGTGGGTCAGGAAGCAGCAAAGCGGCCACAGGCGTGAGCTTGGGTCCAGGCAGTGGCCGCAGGTGCGTGGTGAGGGCAGTCTGGAGCTCCAGCAGCCCTTGCACGTCTCTGCCCAGAGTGCCACCAAGTTTGGGTTTCTTAAGGCTAACAAGGATTTTACGTAAGAATCACAGTCGTTGTACCTTTAAAGATGGGTACATAACCTAAAGTGTTTATCAGCTACAGAATATAAGAAAAGGGAGTAAGCAATAGTGAGGTTGGGGACAAACTAAAGAAAAATATGCCTGGACCAGCTACATAATCATTTTAAAAATGTTTGCTACCCAAAGCAAGTTTGTCATTTTATTTCCTTATGAGGCAACTCTTGGCTTACACTTTGAGTATTCCTATTTTTTTTTTTTAAAGAAAAACCCTTATTTAAGGACACAAGAGGAAATTTTTCCCTAAAGTTAACCAATTGCGAAGTGAATAATTCCAACCAGTAGCAAATAATAACAGCTGTTTCTTTTGCATGCATAAAACTGGAGGTCTACATGTTAGATTCAGAGTTACTTGATTATATATGCATTGCTTTTAAATCAAATTCAATTTTTATATTAAAATCTGGGCATTGATTTTGTAGTGTGACAGTTTTGTTTTATATTGTTTAGTTTAAGCCAATTCTGGACTTAACATTATTATATTAGGTTATCTTTCTTCTAAGGGATTGGAATGAACTTCTCTCTGGAAACAGCAGGGGAGAGCTGGGAGAATGCTGTGGGCTCATTTAATAGAGGAAATGTTTCAGCCTAAATCTCTTCTAAGATAACATTGTCAGACATCAGGATGGTCACTTACTGAGCAGGTATTCATATAATTTAAGATAGAGAGTTTTAATAAAGAAAATAAATATTTTCTTCTAATCAACACAGTACAGGCAGTAGATTTAAGAAACCCATTGCTAATATTTGAAGTGTGATATACATTTAGGTTTGCATTTACACCTACTCAATAAATAAAATTGGCTCCACCTAGTGGTTAAGAATGTAAAACCACTCAAATCACAGTTTAGCAGGATGTGGTGGCCCATGGCTGTAAGCCCAGCGCTTCATAGGCTGAGGCAGGAGGGTTGCCCAGAGTAGGAGACCAGCGTGGGCTACATAATTCAAGGCCAGCCTGAACGGAACTGAATTACATAGCAAGACCCTGTCACAAAAATAAAATAAAACATAGCTTAACTTGTACATTTCACTATATGAAAAAGTAAAAGTAAAAAGAATTAAGGAGGAGGAATAAATAAAAGTTATAATTTAATTAGTATTATCCTATATAATTTTGAGTTAGAATTCTTAGAATAAAATTGCCTGATTAAAATTTGATATTATACGCACATATTTTACTTATTAATGCTAATAGTTTAGACAGGGATGCAAAGACCATTTAAAGATTATTGTCATTTCAATAATTTAATTTAAGGGCCAGGGATTTAGCTCAGTGGTTCTGTGGTCTGCCTCGCAAGCTCAAGGATCCGAGTTCGATCCCCGGGACCAAACAAAAATTTAATTTAGTTTTATGCCAATAAAATTGTTGTGATAAGCTTGTTTTATGCATATTCATTTTACATATTAAGTTATTTTGATACATTAAAAAAATTTTAAAGTTACATTCTTTTCATACATTTAAAATTGAAAAACAACTAATATGGTCCATATGAAATACAATTTCAGGCCCTTAGAAATAGAAAAATAGAGATTTTGACGTTGGGAGGAACTTTTATAATCTTTTTTGTCTTAATCTACTTATGTTTACAGATAAGAAAGCTAAAGTTTGGAGAAATCCAGTGACTTGCCCAAATAACAATCAGGACTATAATAAATTAGAACCCAGATTTCTTACATCATAGTCCATTGTTCATCAATTTATATATCATTTATCCGATGCTTGTTTTGTGCACATCATTGTAGTAGGCACTTTATGGTCTACAAAACAATTAGGAAATAGTTCTAATAATTAGGAGATATTCTCCATATTAGTACTCTGAGGAGTAGCTGGCAAAAAATTTTTCCCATCTGTGGGTTGGCTCTTCACTCTTAGTTGTTTCCTTTGCTGTGCAGAAGCTTTTAATTTGATATGACCCCATTTGTTGATTACTGGTGTTGTCTCCTGTGCAACTGGAGCTCTGTTCAGAAAGTCCTTGCCTACTCCTGTGCCATCCAGAGTTTCACCTATTTTATCTTCCAGCAGATTAAGTGTTTATGTTTCACTATTTAGATATTTGAACTATTTTGATTTTTGTTTAGTGCATGGTGAGATATACTTTTGAACTACCATTTATAGAATAACAAATTCCTATCCTCTGTTTATATTGCAGTGATCAATTATAAAATATTTACAGCTGTTACTTTTTAACATGATAAAAGTAATAAATGCTCTTTGTAAAAAGGACAAAAGCAAAATATACAAAATAAAACATCATATAAGAAAATAGAAGTCATTCACTTTCCCTTGTTTTGAGATGATTCTTTTTAATAGCATGAGGTGTATATTTGGGGGTATCCAGTCAAACTAGGAAATCCCAGATCACAGAAGCACTTTGCCCTACTTCAGAGGGACAAAACCATTTACCCAGAACCCCAGCCCTCTCACAATGACAGCAAGAGGTATCCAGGTGTGTGGGCCAGTTGTCCCATGAGCCTCAGCACTTTGCAGGGAGGAAAGTGCAATTGTCAGTGTCTACTGAAGAAGCTGGCGGAAAGGAAGAAAGCTGGCCACCCACAAGTATTTCGTAGTTCAGACTGTAAAGGTTGTAATGTGTGTGTGTACAACCTGCTGATATTCACATGAGAAGGATCAGATGTCAGGGAGTGGGCTTTATGGCTAGCAATCTGATGGTGACATGGGCATCTTGGATGGCATCTAAGAATCAGATACACAGGGCACATCTCAGGGGAAGACAACCAGTATAGATGGTGGTCACAGCCAAGTTCTCACCCTGAGACATTTGACATGGCCACTTGAAATCCCACTGGCACCTAGAGAAAAGAAATCCTAAATACAATGGGTTTTAATCCAGGAAAAAAAAGGAAATCAAAACTGAAATACAGGAGAAAACAAATGTCAGGTGAAGTGTAGCACTTCATAGTAGACACAGTCTGGAAGAAGCAGTTGCAACCAGCCAATTTTTCCTCATGTCATTGATAATTAATTTTAATTACATTTATAAAAAAAACTTTCATGATAAATTGAAAATTCTCCTAGCTCATAATTTATCTCAAGGGAAGAAGACTCCAACAGTAAGACTTACCTAGGTTAAAAGAAACAAAAAGAGAGCCTTAGTTACATGACTAGAGGGGTGATTTTGAGTTCAACATGTTCTTTTTAGGGATGTGTGAAAATTGGTTGAAATCCTTCTCGTCAGGCCTAGATAAAATTAGAGGTGGAAAGTAATGAAAAGGGAGGGCTCCTGCCTGCTTATCTGAAATAAATACTGTTTCAAGTATTGTCTGATTTGTCACAAGAGATTCCTTCTTGTTCTGGGTAGTTCATGATGCTTTGAAAGTCTTCTAGCTTGTTTACGCATGTTGTTGTAAAGTATTCTACTGAAAAAGCCATATGTATTTTGTGAGAAGTTACACATTAATTTTACTCAACTGTTGATGAACAGGAGAGATGTTTCCAGTTTGGTGCTATTATGAAGTAATGATATCATGAACATTCTTTTGTGTCTTTCGGTGAATATCTGTTCACATTTCTGGCATTTACGTAGAAGAGGAACTGCTAGCATTGTAAAAAAGCTCCCTAGTAGATTCTCAGTGCTTCTAACATTGAGGTAATGAGGGTTTTTTTTTTTTTGTCTTTTATGTGTTCTCACTTGTTCATAAGTTGACTTTGGTTGAATCTTGATATGGATATTAACCTCAAGGTAGTGGTTGATAACATAGCATTTGACCTGATATTTTGCACCTATAGGTAGACAACCTTAATACACTTTACTAATGACTGTTAAATCATATACCTCAATATCAATAATACATGCATGTCACATAGCCACTGGACAGTAATA